ATACTCCCCTAAATAACAGTGTCCAAGCATCCATATGGGGATAAATAAACCTGAATTAGTCTTTCACTTATATCTCAAAAATTATAAATAAAATTATGGAAGCCCTTGTTTATAGGCTTCAAGGAACATTGCCAGGACTTTTTGTATTTGATACGCTTCTAATGTAGCACATGACATGCAAACAAACTGATTTCAATTTAGGTTTCCAAAAAAATATTGTTGTCACAACTGCAAGCCCATATACATACAACCATTATCTCATGGTAGATTTGGAAGAGAAGGGATCAACAGAACAGAAAGGAAAGCTTGTTGACAGGGCTAATACTCAGTATCAAATAGGCTCTATTTTAGAAAAAAAGTATGAGGGAATTTAACTATTAATAGACGAGACATTCAAACAGGGAATATTATGACAGCTGAGTCTTTTTATAGCATAACTTTATCATTTGTTAAAGATAATATTTATAAAAAGGATAAAAGAAGTAGAGCTAGGCTGTATTTCTTTTCTATACTAAGTGATTAAATGCAGATATCCTTAGTGCCAAAAACATTGATACATTTTGGAAAATTGTTCAAATTATTATGTATACCATAACAATAGGGATTTTAAAGCATGTTGCTATAGAAAATCAGTGATATTATAAATATATATATACACACATAAACATAGATATAAATAAATTTATATATACATAGATATGTATACATATATATATATATGTTTTCTGAGGTTTTCGCGGGTATTTGTATATAGGTCTTTGGCTGTTCGGGTTCTCTCCCGCGTAAAATTGGAAGTGTCTTGGCGACGTTTCGACGAAGTCACATTCGTCATCTTCAGGCTGGTGTTTTTAGCTTCTTGCTTTGAGCAGTAATGTGTGGTCTTAGCTGTTTCTTCCTTTAAACTGCCAGTGGGGGTATGAACTGATTGGGTGGGAGCTTGGCTGTGTTCTGATTGGGTGGAGGTGTGTTCTGAAGATCCACCCCGCACTTTGGGACAAATCCAAACAACTCGCTGTCTGGAGAGCCGAAACACAGACCACCCTCAAGACAGATACACACACCAACAAACTCCGAAGACTACAAGAACGTCAGAAACAAACCCCTCCTCCCTCACAGCCACATATGAAACAAACAGTGCATAACATCTCAGATAGGATCCTCACCAAAGCCGAAACCAATGTCCTTTCCAAAGGATTCAACTTTGCAGTCGCTCCCAAACACATCCCCACTTAAACCATTATATGTGGAGTTGAAACCAGCCTGACCAAAATCAACCCCGACGACGCTAACAGAATCAGACTCGAAATCACCAACATCCTCTGTACCAGCAAGCCACCCAAAAGCAATTTACCCAAAGAGGAACAGACAGCACTACGTAACCTGAAAGAAGACACCAGCATAATAATCCTACCAGCAGACAAGGGCAACGCCACGGTGGTTATGAACACATCTGACTACCAAACCAAATTAACCAACCTACTCCAAGACTCCACATACAAACCCCTAAATACAGATCCCACCACCTACCTGGAAAAAACCACCAGATCCAAAATAAAAGCCTCCCCCATTAGCGAAGAGATCCCGCAAAGAATCATTCCCAGAGAGAAATCATCCAGATGCCCCAAACTCTATGGTCTCCCCAAGATACACAAGGAAGGAACCCCACTCAGACCTATAGTCAGCTCCATAGGCTCACCTCTACAAAACCTAGCCAAATTTCTTGCCAAACAACTATAGCCCTATGCAGAATCCATCACCTCACACGTAAAAAACTCATTCCAGTTTATAGAGATCATAAAGAAACAAAACTTACAGCCCAGCGACCTACTCGTGAGCTTCGATGTCATATCCCTCTTCACCCAAGTGCCTACCAAAGAAGCCTTGACAGCTATCCAAAACAAATATAACCCCCCCAAAACACATCTTAGATCTGACCAACCACTGCCTATCCAACACATACTTCATCTACAATGGACAAAAATACAAACAAACAGAAGGAGCACCCATGGGATCACCCCTCTCACCTGTCATTGCAAACCTCTACATGGAACACTTTGAAACCCAAGCTCTAGAAAAATCAGATCACAAACCCAAACTCTGCCTCAGATGCGTAGACGTAATCTGGCCACATAATCTGGCCACATGGGAAAGAAAAACTGGACAACTTCCTCACACACCTCAACAGCCTACACCCCAAAATACAGTTCACCATGGAAACAGAAGCTAACAACCAACTTCCCTTCCTGGATGTCTTAGTCTACAAGAAATCCAATGGCTCCCTAGGACACACCATCTACCAGAAGAAAACACACACAAACCGCTATCTGCACGCTCTCTCACACCACCACCCAGCACAGATCAACTCTGTAGCCAAGACACTCATCTCCAGAACAAAACGCTTAGCTGACGAACAACACCTAAAATCCGAACTACACACTCTCACCAATGTACTAACATCCAATGGATTCCATAGAAATAAGATTACAAACCTAATCCAAAAAGAAACCCCACTAAAATCCAAGACAAAGAACAAGAAAACGGCAAAGCCCTCCTCCCATACATAAAAGGCACCACAGACAGAATCAGTAAGATCCTCCATAAACACAACATCAAAACAGCATTCTGCACAAACAGAAAAATATCTACCATCCTTAGAAACCCCAAAGATAAAATTGAATTAGAAAATCAAGGAGTATACGAAATCCCATGCACCACTTGTCCCACCACATACATCGGACAAACCAACAGAAGAATAAGTGCACGCATTGAAGAACATAAGAACTCAGTCAAAAAAGAGGAACCAACATCTTCCCTGGTCCAACACCTTAAAGCCACAGGACATGAAATTGACTTTAAAAATACCAGAACCATTGCCAAAAGTGAACATTTTAATAACAGAATAATCAGAGAAGCCATCGAGATAGAAAAACGCCCACACAGCATGAACAAGCGAGATGATACCTCCCGCCTACCAGCCATTTGGAAACCCGCCCTTATTGACAAACGACTCCATAACCCCAAAATCTTAAACCCCTCTGCAACTCAGACTAACCTGAGCACAACCAAACAGAACACTCCCCCAGCCAATCAGAGCACAGCCAAGCCCCTAACCATTCAGAACACACCTCCACCCAATCAGAACACAGCCAAGCTCCCACCCAATCAGTTCATACCCCCACTGGCAGTTAAAAGGAAGAAACAGCTAAGACCACACATTACTGCTCAAAGCAAGAAGCTAAAAACACCAGCCTGAAGATGACGAATGTGACTTCGTCGAAACGTCGCCAAGACACTTCCAATTTTACGCGGGAGAGAACCCGAACAGCCAAAGACCTATATATATATATATATATATATATATATATATATATATATATATAGAGAGAGAGAGAGAGAGAGAGAGAGAGAGATTTTCTCTATACATAGACGTATATGACATATATGTAAACACATATATGTATAGACATTATGACTTTTGACCTATTACTTACTGTTTATATGTACACTGTGAGTTTATGCAACAGAAATAAATTTCTTGTGTGTCCAATCACTCTTGGCCAATAAAGAATTCTATTCTATTCTATAATATGGCAAACATTCATAGCACTCTAATATACATGTATTCAGTTTTGTTCTCTGATCATTTCAAACAAGAATAGTAATACTATTGCAAATTAAATATGTGCAACTAACATTTTACGTGGCTGGAGGGAGTATAACCATATATCTAGTGATCTATGAAAGAAAGGTTGCAACTTTCTCCTAACATACCCATCACAAATATATTCTGCAAGGAAACAAACAGTTTTTGCCAAATGCAGGACACACATTTTTTTTTTAACAATCATCACAAGAGCTAAGGATTCGGTAGCATTGCTACTTCATAATAGTGAAAACTGCCTAGTCAGTTATGTTATTTTTACAATTGAAATTGTATAAGTAGTCCTCAACTTACAACAGTTAATTTAGTGACCATTCAAACTTACAACGGCACTGAAAAAAGTGACTTATGGCTGTTGTGGCATCCCTGTGATAATGTGATAATGTCACATGTCATTTCTCAACTGCTTGGCAATTAGTATGTATTTATGATGGTTGCAGTGTCCTGGGTCATGTGATCCCCTTTGGCAACCTTCTGACAAGCAGTCAATGCGGAAGTCAGATTCACTTAACAGTGGTGTCACTAACCTGACAACTGCAGTGATTCACTTAACAAATGTGGCAAGGAAGGTCGTAAAATGGGGCAAAACTCACTTAACAGCTGTCTTATTTAGTAACAGAAATTTTGGATTCATTGTGGTTGTAAGTCAAGGACTACCTATATATCAAATCAAATTGATACTTTAGTACTTCTCAAATAAAATCATTTTCAACTCTTCAATATTGCATAGCAATTTAAAATTCATTGTAATATTCATTACTATTATTTAATATAACACCATACAGCAAATCAGTTATGTGGTCATTTGATATCATAGAAATTCTCTAGAGACATTCTTAATCTGTCATCTTCTCATGTAAGTGAACATTAATGCCAATAAAAACATGAAAAAGTCATATCTTTAAGAAAATAATGCATATATTCCTACTTTCCAGCATTCATAACTCAACACAAACTCTTACTATGTGGCTTCTTTGTAGTATCACACATTAATCCTTCTATTGCTGCCATTTACTGATATATTTATTTGTTTATTGCATTTAAAAGACAATTTCACATGTAAGGAAAGCATATCAGTTTCTATGGATTTTAAAGCAATCCCACAATACATCACACATAAGGTAGCATCTCTTGTTTCCAGAAGTACCTTTTCAAAAAGGAAGATAGCAGAAAAGATGCAATGAGCATCAGTATAGAAACAGATCTTTATATTTAAACGTTTAGTCCATTAATTAGAATGACTTTTTACATTGTTTCATATTTTATCATTTACACTTTATCAAACAACACAAAGCTTATCAAACTCTAAGAAAACTTTCCCCTTCCCTAATTGCATTACCTGTGTGCTAGCAGTGTCCTAAAGGTGATTCTATTTTGTCCCATATAACTTGACAGCATATCTGACCAATCCCACTTCCACTCATTAATGACACACTGTTGATGTAAAAAGAGAAAGTGTGCTTAGTTATTAATCAGAATTAATATGATCAGCAAATTAAAACTCCAGCTGTGATAAACTAAATAAGGAAAAGTGAGGGCTGGAGCAAGGACTTACACAGATAACATCAATCTTATCAACAGAAGAAGTGTAAGTGAGCAATTAATTTATAAATCCATTTGGGGATGTAGCCATTATTTATATAAAGATAAATCATTTTTTGAATTCTCCTATTGTTAATGGTGTTTTATTAAACTATTTTCCTTAAAACATGATACATTTTATGCATTGTAGCAAATTACCTTTTTTACTGACATAAAACATATTAACAGGAAGACCTTAGTGTAACTACGATATGACTTTACATATCTACTGTTATATAAAATAATCCATATTCCACTAGATTATTGTACATTTCTGTAAACTTATATAATCAATGCTAACTCATGTAATATCAACATTACACAAACATTTTCCTTGAGATGTCAAATGATTTCATGGAAGACAGAACGCCATCCGAAGCAATATGGAGTACACAACATTAATTATCATTAGGTAATAGCAAAATCAAATGTCATAATGAGAAGGTGGAAAGATAACTTTTAAAACAATGTATGTTTCACCAAAAGGTGGAAAGACACTGGTCTCACTGTAAAGGATTTCGTTAAGTGGTCTTTTCTTTATATTCAGTTACAATTATTTATTTTACTCCTCTGGCAGACTAGCATGGTGTTTTTCAAACTTGGCAACTTTCAGATGCAGCTGGGAAATTCTGGGAGTTAAGTCCACACTTCTTAATTGCTAAGTTTGAAAGACACTGCTCTAGTCCATTCCTATCTGAAAATGATATCTCTCTTCTGATAGAGCCATAGTCATTTCCCAATTCTATCGGTGTTTAAGCCCATATCTCAGGCAGTATCTGGAGATAAGAGGTTCATATGTGAGTGGCCCATGTTTCTTTTTTTGCCTCTAGCTTCAATCCCAGAACATTATTCATGAGGGAACTCAGTGCTTAAACTGAAAAGAGGTTTCTGACACTGAAAAGATTAAAAGTGTGATAGATTACTGCCTGCTTTCCAAAGTGCTACCCAGTTTAGTTCAGTTTTTTAAAATTAACTCTCTAACTGAAAGCAACTGTCAGTCTCTAAGAACACATCTTTTAATTCTCAAATGTGATCTAAGAATAACTAAATGATTTTACCCTGTAGTTTCACAGGCACAAAGTACTCAAACTGAAATGGTCTCCATGTCTAAATGATTTTATGCTGGCTAATTTAAATCTTCCTAAGTTACTAAAAGTTAAAACTATCATAACTGAGGAAGGAATTCTCAAGATGCTATAAATAGTTCTAATAAACAATCATTTCTAATTAAGATTTATTGATTGAGAGATCTACAATGTATTAAAGTGGGAAAGAAATAGAATAACATAGAATAAAGAAGAATAAAGTAAAATAATAATAATAATGAAAAATCACTAAAAGCAAAAATCATGTGTCTGCATAATCTCTGAAAGAAAGCTGTGTTAGCCAAAAGCTGTATTAACAGTACGTGAATGACCTAATGCATATTTAGAAACATTGTATAAAAGTAAAAACTGCCTTCATTGTATTCCCATGAGAAATGGACCTAACGTGTGAGAAACTATCTGAATGTTACACAAAGTAGATTCCATATACAATGTAAGATTCCATCTATGCTTCCTTTGTTCCTGAGAGAAAGAAACCTATAAAGCTTTAGTTTAGACCCTCCCCCTTGTTCAGAAATTTGTTGATTGTTAAATCACTTCTGAACCTTTTTGTGCAAAAATAAAGATCTTTCTTTCACCCATGGAATTTCGTAAAAGCCCTTATATTTTTTAAGGCTTTATTTTTCCACAAGATTTACGGCGACTTCTCCGCCGGGACATTTTTAAGGGCTTTTAAGAAAAAGGATTTAACCTTCCAAGACAGATTGCCCTGGTGGGGCCCCCCCTCTCCTAAACGACGACAGCTCCAAAAGCCGGCTCCGTAGCTCTTGACTACGAGGAGACCTCGACGGAAGGAAAGGGAATTAACCCATCAGCGAAGCATTCCTGTCTAAGGATCCGTGAGGGTGACAGACAGATCTTAAATCAACAAAGGAATCTGGAAAACGCCTGCAGGCAAGTATTGTAAAACAGGGGAAACCTGATCGGAAGAAGGGATTGATCACCCCTTAGAAGGCAAAGGTGTCGTCCTTAAGCCTTCAATAGGCAGGATTGTGTGGGAGGTTAAACCATTGTAGCTCATGCTGAGTGATCAATGGTAGTGTATTAGAGAAATGGGTGGGAAAAAGTCAAAGGAGAGCGTTGACCAGATGCCACTCCAGTGCATGTTAAAGAATGTCAAAAAGGGGTTTTCTAGGGATTATGGAGATCCAAAACCAAATCCAGCCATGTTAAAAAGATTCTGTGAATCTGAGTGGACTGCCCTGGGCGTAAGGTGGCCAAAAATGGGATCGGCGAATCCCGAACTCGTTGCACGGGTTCATCAAATTGTGACTGGAAATGGTTATTGGGACCAGTACCCCTATGGAAAATCAACATTGCAGAAAGACCGAGATGGTTAGCAAAATGTCAGATAGAGTGTGCAAAGATATATTTGGCAAGCCAAAAAGCCAAGCCTCAAACAAAAGCTGAGATTTTCAGCCAGGAAGATAGGGAGGAAATTGCCAGACCACGCCCCTACGTTCCTAGAAGAGAAGAAGGGAGAATAAATCAGCAAATTCCACCCCCTCTGCCTGAAAGAGAAGCCCAATTTCATCCAGAAGCCAGTGAGGAAGGAAAATTAGCAACAGCTGGATCCCTTCAAGAAACAGATAAAAGTTTGAATAACTTTGAAAATGAAAGCAAGACATCAGTTTCTAGCCGCACCAGGAGCAAGTTAGAAATAAATACAGAAGAAAATATAGCCCCTCTAAGAGAGGTGTTGGTTCCTGGACCAGATAATACTAATATTTCAATGCTTCAATATGTTCCATAACCGTGACAGGGAGGAGGAACGCAAATCAGATCAAAAAGAAAAAAAAAGAAAGTTGAAATGTTAGCCGTGGCATTGGGAGGAACATGCCTAGGACCCAATCAGTGTGCCATCTGTAAATAAGAAGGACACTGGCAAAGGGAGTGCCCCCAGAGGAATGGCCAACCCAGGGGACAATCTCGCCAGTATGGAAGAGGAAGAGGAAGAGGATTTAGAGGGACTTTCCAGAGAGGCTTCAGAAAGAGCTTCAAAGGATGAGGGCATCCAGTTTATCCCAATCAGACAGAGGAAAGAGAAGAAAACATGATCGGCTTAGCTGACATGGAATGGGAAGACTGAAGAGGACAGGGTTCTATCGCCCCACCCCCAGAGCCCATTGTTAAAATACGGGTGGGAGGACAGGTTGTCCCGATGCTAGTTGACACAGGAGCCACCAGATCTGTCCTAAATAAATCCATTGGCAAGCAATCAAATCCTTGTGGTAGCCGTATATTTAAAAATTCGCCAACGTGCTTTAGTCAAGCCCTAGCCCAAGATCTTGCTTATCTGAAGTTATTCAGACAAGAGGATTGTTGCCTTCAATATGTCAATGATGTCTTAGTAACTGGCCAAAGCAGGGAGGATTGCTTTGAAAACATGTCCAGACTGCTCCAATCGTTACAAGACTGTGGTTATAGAGCATCCAAAAAGAAAGCACAATTAATTCAAGAGACTGTAATGTATTTAGGCTATGAACTTTCACAAGGACAAAGAACTTTGGGCCCCCAGAGAAAGCAAGCTGTGTTACAGATTCCCATCCCACAAACAAAACAGGAAGTTAGAGCCTTTTTGGGAATTACAGGCTTCTGTAAAATTTGGATTCCTAACTTCGCTCTCACAGCTAAACCATTGTACCAAGCTTTAAGGGGACCAGAAAAAGAACCTCTTTTGTGGCAAGAGAAACAAACCCAAGCATGAGACAATTGCAACAGGCTCTCACCACAGCCCCCGCCCTAGGACTACCTGATATATCTAAGCCATTTTCACTTTATGTGGATGTAAGACAAAATGTAGCTTTAGGGGTCCTTACCCAAAAACAGGGAAGTTGGAACCGCCCTGTCGCTTATCTGTCAAAACACCTGGACATTTCTTCACAAGGCTGGCCCCAGTGTTTAAAAATTCTAGCAGCAGTTATGCTATTACTGCAGGAGGCAAACAAGTTAACCTTTTCAGCTCCAGTGACTGTTTATACTAGTCATGCCTTGCAGACAATCATTGACAATAAAGGACATTTATGGATAAGTAATCAACGAATGCATAAAATACAGGCTCTTTTATTAGAAAATCCACAAGTTACACTGCAACAATGCTCAACTTTAAACCCAGCAACTCTAATGCCAATTCCTGATTCAACCAAACCTGTTCATGACTGCATGCAAACAATAGAACTACAATATTCTTGCAGACCTGACCTTACAGACCAACCCTTGCATAATCCAGACTATCAATGGTTTACTGATGGTTCTAGCTTTATGGATAAAGGATGTAGATACTCTGGTTACGCAATAGTTTCTCAAACTTCTACTGTTGAGTCAGCACAGTTGCCTAGTCAAGCCAGGAGATAGTGTGTGGGTAAAGCACTGGAAATCAGATCCCTTGAGCCCAAGATGGAAAGGACCGTATACTGTTGTCATGTGTTCTCCTTTGGCAGTGAAAACCTTGGAAGGAAAGTCTTGGATCCATTGGAGTAGAGTGAAAGCAGCTGCACCTGCAGATCCGGTGACCTACAAGGTGGACAAGACTGACAAGCCTTTGGTGTTGAAATTTACAAGAAATACAGCAACGGGTTCCCAAGACACGGTGTGATCAACAACCTTGCTGAGACACCCCAGGAAGCTGTCTCTCTACGCACGGTGGAAGATATGAGGATTCTACAGCTCGTAATATTTGTTAATTATTTAATATGCACACACATTCCTACACAAATCAGTACAATGGCTACACGAGAGGTCATAATG